TAATTGGCGACGTAGAGTAGCCGGTGGTATTTCAACTATCGCTACCGATTCCTCTAGACCTGCCCCTCTTAAGCATCGTTTTATAGCTGCGCCTACTTCATCGCTTATAAAAGGCAGCATAAACGGGACTTTCTTCCGGCTAAGTGTTTCGCGTGGGCGCGTCGCTCTCCTTGTAAACTTATCTCGTGGGGTTACTATTTCGTAGCCATTGGAAATGGATATTTGCCGAGCCAAGTCGCGCGATTCTTCCTTTAGTTCCCTGGTAGTGCACACAGAGGTGGCTGTTCGGAACATGTTTCTCACAATCGCCCTCTTTGTGTGTGAAGGGTGGGAAGAAAGGAAATGAACAAGAATGTACTTGTTACTTGGCTTTCGATACCACTTTGTCAGGTAACCGCTACTTGATAGGCTTATTTGAACGTCCAAAACCGGAAGCCAGTTTTTTTGAAATACCACCGGCTACTCTACGTCGTCAATTAGTTCGTAACCGCCTGTATGACCGTCTGTGTGAAACAACAAATTGCGTAATTTGCCCTTACGGCAGAATTGCATGAGTTCAGGTACGATATACCTGATCTCTTGTAATAATTGCGGAGATGAATATATTGGCGAAACGGGCAGACCTTTGTGTATGCGTATAAAAGAACACCTAGATGGCAAACGAAAACTGAGACTAAGCACCCCACTAGGCACGCATAGGATACAAAAGCAGAGCGGAGACGATTTTGAAGTAAAAGTCAATATCCTTGCACAGGAGTCCAAAACACCAGCGCGAAAACTCCTTGAGGCTTTTTGGATCAATGCCAAAAACCCTACAATGAATAGCAGGGACGAATGCCCGGAGGTCATACGCGACCTGATCCCGTACGTCCGCATCGATTTTTGATGTGGGATGGCGCAAAGGTCGTCAACCACATGCGACTATAATCAGCTGTTCTAAACTTCCTCATTGGAAGTCACGAAAAAGCGGTGGGTTTTTCGAGAAGTTGTTGATCGTGTAGTTACCAAAGAGTCTTTCGTCTTTGTGTAAGTGTTATTGAAGCGTTTGGCCTAGTAGATTGTATATCAGTGTACCCTTCCAGGCTCTGAAGAAGGCGGTACTGTCGAAACGTCAGCTGCTGTTGTATTGTATTGTGTTTTTTATGGAAGTAAATGTATGCTGTTTAAAAACCTCGCGATTGCTGAACAAGAAAACGACACAACTCATAACTGTTTATAAGTGTACTAGCTCTCCTCTCACCCTTCAGTTGGGAAAAAGCATCTGGCCGTCTTGTGTTGTCGTGAAGCAATATTGGTCCTTCTCTATTGACCAATCCCGGCTGCTTCACGCGTAGCTTTCGATGCATTTCTTCTATTTCAGCACCATAATTCTCTGACGTAATCGCTTCGCTAGGTCTTAAGAATTTGTAATGAATTCTACCGACCATTGAACACCAAACAGAAGCCATTGTCTTCTTCAGATCCAGACTCGGTTTAAGCATGTCTCGTGGATTCTGATCGGCGTCTATCCATTGTAGAGAACGGCGTCCATTATCGTGCAGTATCCACCTTTCTGCGCAAGTTATAATGCGGTTCAGAATTGGGTCTCTATCGTTCCGAATCAGTACCGAATTGCAAATTTCCAGACGTTGAGTTCGTGTGGAACCCATTTGTCCATTTTTTAAAACTTTACCAATCAACTGTAGGTGACGTGAAATGGCCACACCACTGGCACCAAACACTGTCACGTGTTCTCGGAGCGTTTGACGTTGATTTGAGTCGACTGGAGTACGAAGTTCCTCATCACTAACCGTAATTTTTGCCCTACCACGCTCGTCGTTTGCAAGACTATCGCTCTCGGATTGAAACTTTGGGTACCAACGACGAATGGTGCGTTGGTTAACAAAGCCGTCTCCAAATGTGGCATTGATTCCGAACTCGCCGCGCAATTATGTTGCACTCTCGATATTCTTGTTGAGCAAACACAAGGTATTACTTTATTTTCTTTATTCCGTTAAAAATGACGTTTCGGCGGATTTTGCCTTACTCAGAGCCTGAATGGATAGGCAATTTACTATGTCAAACGCTACAATAACTCATACAGAAAGATGAAAATCTAAATCGCAATCACGCGATCAACAGCTTCTGGAAAAACCCGCCGTTTATTACCTGCCTTCCACTGAGGAAGAATAGCTTATCGCTCCACTCGGGCAAAGAAAGGACACGGATATCACGTTGATTCTTACTAAAGCTGAAGCCTATAAAAATGTTAAAATGGTAAATCTCGAGAAAAACCAATACCAGATATAGAAAGAGCAGGCTTTGCCCTTCAGAAGTATATATTAACCATACATAGAAAACAAAATTTTTGTTTAAGAAATTACATGGAGAATTAAAGCAATGAAGTCGGATGTTTCATATGTCACAACGTGAAATGTCTAAGAGGGAGGCTACGCTCCAAGGCAGTACCATTGCAAAGCAAAATGAGAACATCTCTTCCGAGCTATGCTTTATTTCAAACGAAACAAGCACCACTATTAAGTTCTTACTGACCATGTCCTTCACTTGGAATTAATTTTGAGAAAGAAAAACACCGTCGCTCACTGCTGATTGTTTGAATTGTAGTTGAATGCTGTCCTACATAAACATCTAAGACAAGACTCCAAAAGAAGCTGGTATCTACATATCATCGTTGTTTTTCATTCTACAAGTGTGCGTTCAGTTTTCAATAATTCAGCTTTGAACTCCTGCGGTCCCGTTAACCATTGGAAAGGTCGGCGACGACCCACTTGTGACGGTAGTGTCAAGGAAAGTACGACAAGGATATTTCGTGTGCTTTCACCTCACTGGTGGCCATATCCAGGAGATAGCACGGATATCCTATCAATGTCCTATCAATGAACTACGGAGAAGTGCAAGTATTCGCCTATTCATCAACCAAGCAATGCAAATTGCATTTCCGCCAAATCTAACGATTGGAAGAGACAGGAGAAGAAACTGAAAGTGCCACCTGATTGCAAAGCACCAACACTGACTAGAACCAATGAAAACTGTAGGAGAGCAAAGTATATACTTGTTGAGGCTACTAAGTTCAATGACAAGAAAAACGGAATTTTAATGTTTAGGTCTGTTTAGGTCTGCTACCAATAGTCTGACAAACACAAATCTTCGAAGTTATTCGGTTTAACAACGCTTGCAGCGTCATAATACGCAGTGAAACCGAGGTGGGTTGATGCGTCGTGCATTTTCCATTATCAAGTTGCTCATCCTAGTTCCGAATCTTGGCGGATGTATGTTTTTTACAATTTCGGAAACTATAAGTCTAGAAGAAAGCAAATGATCCGGCTATGCAACAAGGAAAGTCAGCAACAGATAAACAAAAACTGATGAAGTGCACCCTGAACGAATCCTTATTGACAAACTGTGTCTCACAGTTGGCCGCCCTGTAAAGGCAATGACTATCAGAAAAATTGAGAAGGTTCGACTAGGATCTAGAGTCTGCTCAGATTCGCTCCCTCAAAAACATGTTTCGTCTTCCATTTTTCTTCCACTCGTTTGACTCTAAACGTCCAGTTCTTTTTGACTGGACAGTAAATCGATGGAAACGACTTCCAGTAGAATCTTTATTTAAAAAACTGAAAAAATATTTTTATGAAGAGGTAAGAGAAAACGAAAACAACGTCTATTAATAAAATTAGCGGGCTTTATAGATTTATAAAGAACAGAGTACTTCAAATGCGTTATTCAAGTAGACCTTGAATACCGCGGTTGTGAAAAGACTTGTATGGTACCGACACCGTTCGTGGACACTAGTTCCACAAGCGGCAATGGCTGCCATCGGCAGCTATTGTTTATTTATTTAAGGCAATATAAAGTACCTCTTAAGATCACGATTGGGTTAACTGAACACAGCTGGTACTCTAAGGCATGAATGCTTCAGAGCCAGTGAGTTTAGCGATTTTCGCCGTATTCAACTTTCTTATAGATGTCCTAATTTTCGTCTTAAAAATGTCCGTTTCCCCATATTCTTTACATGGCAAGCAGGAACATTAGTAGGAATTATTAATGTTTTCAAACAAAACAAACAGAAGCTGTTTCTGAAGAAACTTCATAAGTGTTGTCTTTTCATTAGACAATGTGTATGACGCAAGTGCATGTCCTACTAAATGTACCAGTTAGTTCCTCTTTTTTCTTTTTTCTCCTCTCTTCTTCTTCTTCTTCTTTTTCGTCTTGTCATCTGGATCACGGGATTTTCCTCCTCATTCTTCTGGAGAGAGTAGAATAGGTGAGGAGATAAGAATGAAGAGCAGAGATAACTGTGAAATTGCGTATCACGGAAGTTGTGCATTCATTTTCGCAAGCCCAACAGGAACATTTGTTCATGTGGAACGATATAATACGGTCTACAGTATTGCTCAGAGACTTTCCATAGGTTTTGCATAATTCTGCCACCCGATGTTACAAATCAGTAGTCAAAAGTGCACGATTGTTAAATACAAACGGATCGTCTCAGATATCCAACACTTCCACATTCTCTGGATCACTCACTTTGGTCGAATATCCTTTCTTGCAATGACAATAGCCTTAGGCAACTTCAGCAGTTTGTGAGTTTAGGCAATACATGTTCATATCTGGCTTACATTTTAAACAGCCAGGAAGAAACATTTATGTCCTGTGGTGGCTCTGAGTTGTGTCGAATATACCAGAGCACATTAAGCGACTGTTGCAACTTCGTAGCACTGATAATGTTCCCACAGTGTAATGGTGGTAACCATGAAGAACCATGGTAACCACAATGGTTTCTGCCGTGGGTCGTCTTATTTTGACGCTGATGTTTGAGGAAGTTTGCAGAAACAACCTCTGAGCAGATGGGGTCAGATTTGCGTTCGCGTTGGATTGACTGATTCGGCAATGAATCGAAGTGCTATTACTAAGACTACTTATTCAGATATTAAAGCTATTGTACTGCCATATTACTTAGAACATTTCATAGCTATTCAACATTCTATTGAATCCCTTTCTTAATGTTTTTTCAGCATAGTAACGATTTCTCCGGTTTCTCTTCCTCGTGTCTCCGGCAGAAATAAGGTGAGATAGAAGGTGCACGAAATGGAGGGTACGACGTACAGCACCAAGAACGCCTTCGGACCGATGAGATTGAATAGAGGTCCACAACTGAATGCCGTTATGCAGCTCATGATGGTGTCCCATGCAAAGCCGACAGATGTTAGCATGCTGCGATAGCGGAGTGTCACCAGTTCGGATCCGATGAAGCGCGCCACTGGCCCGACTCCGACTCTGAAACACGTTATACACTTTGAACTTCTTCACAGAGACACTACAATCCCACCCATATGTGAAACCAAAAATGGTGAGCATCGGTGGGCAGCCATATTTCATCGGTTCAAAGAAGGTGCTCATCTCAGCAAAGAACACATAGAGACTGAGTGATGCCATATTAGTAAGGTTGGACCAAATAATAATGCTTCGACGTCCACATCTGAGTTAGTTTGGTGATTACAGGAAAACCCTTTGGACACCACAGCTTTTTTCAAACCAATACCTCTCGATCAAAACTGCACCGCTCACTGTCCCTGCTAGAAATGCCCCAGCCATCAGTGAACTTGACCACTGTGCCAAGCTATGCGCAACACCTATGCTTTCGAGATAGAATGTGGAGGAGAAAAGGATCGTCCACAGCGCTACAGTGTTCTGAAGAAAGGACTATGTACCGAATACTATAATTTATTATAGTAGCTTTCTATTGAGTACCTGAAGTGATGCAAGAAAGAGCAAAAGTGCTGCCCAGAGGTGTTTTTGTGCAAAAAGATCGGAGAATTTTGCCTTTTCGGTAGAAGCTTCTCTTACATCCTAAACAAATAGTGCAGGTTAGTTTAGAAAAAGTACTTCTTGACCCATTATACTCTTCTTTTTAAAAAAGCACAATGTGGAATGTATTACAGTGTCGGGATTGTTTTACCTTCTCAATGGATTTGAGCGACTCTGAAATAATAGCTGATTCACCGTAGTAGAGTTTAATAGAATCAACGGCTTTCTCGTATTCGCCTCTCGAGAAGAGGAATTTTGGAGTCTCAGGCAAGACTGCGACAACAACAACACCGATAACACCTACAAAGTGAACAACCTAAATGATCTGAGGTTAAGAATGCTTACATTTAAGACTCACAAGCCGGAATAGCGGAAGCGAGATAATGAAGTAGATTTTTCCCGAATAGTGAGTCATTGCCAAGCGTGGTGCCAAGAAAAGCAATCAGTGCGTACATCACACCATTCAGGCAAGATGTCATTCCCTTAATGGAACTCGGAGCGACTTCCTGAATTGTGAAAGATAGCCATTCTCTTCCGTATTATTTCTGATGAATCGCCCCAATGAAAAGATTGTATTTAAAGAACTTTTGACTGATATATTACCATAGCATTCCTTGGATTGAAACAACTAGCTCTCCGAAAGTTCTTTTGCTATTGAAACCTTTAAAAGTCTTTAGAAATCCCTGCTGTGTCCACGAGTTGCGCTGGTAGAACGTTCATCGAGTAATTTCCATAGATTAGTATGGATATATCATCATCCTCGGTACAATGTCGAATTATAATAAAACAAACTTCTTCTTTGCTTGGAGAACCCGGCACCGGCTGCCTACTCCAGCACAATTTCCACTCGTCCATTTCTTGTGAGGATAGTCTGTTTTTTAGTAAGCTTCTGTTCAACTTAGTTTATGCATAATATTGTTTTAAGTCGCAATGTAGTGCTTTTTATTTACTACTTATTCGTTTTTCATGGCATGGTATGACATGAAATATAACCACGACGATGCTGAGGTATTTGCAAAACTCCGGAGTGTATGTGTCTGCAGGGTGGGGATGGGGTCGAACCGATGTTACCCTTAGTCACCTGTGGTCCGGAGTTTTGCACATATCTCAGCACTATTGCAATTATATTGTTTTAAGCCTAAAAATCACTCCAACTTCGTCATTTATACTTGTAGTCTTCTCATGGTTTACTCTTGACCATCTGAGGTTTTCAAACTCATCATAGTGAATTTCGAAGCTTTCATGTACGAGTTCGAACAGATCATAATGAAACAACTGACTTGCGCAAAAGCAGTCGTTGAAGTGATTTTTATAATGTATTTTATGTGAACCTACACGATGCCTTTACTATTTTTGCGGAGATTTCAGCATTTCGATTCTACTCGTTTTTTGCGCATACATTCACTAAAGCTTTTGGATTCGCATGTGGATTCCGCTGCTGCTTGAAGATTTTCTCTTTCTCATGAAAATCGTCAAGTGCTAATCGAATCGATTCTCACTAAAATCCTGGGATGACTCTCGGTGTTCCTACGGCTTCACCAGAAGCACCTCAGTCACCAGTCATGTTGATCGGAGGACACTTCCCAAAAATCTGATATCGACCCCGCATAGAAGAGAAATACGTGGCTTAGCTGGCCCACAGCGGAGTCGAACAACGATCGCACACGTATTATTGAACAGCTCACGATAATCCAAGCGACAAATCATCGGAGTGGAAAGTTGTTCGGTGCTTTGCAATTCAAATAAATCACTAGACTTCCTCGCCAGTTACTATGTCTCTCAAGAGCAAAACGCTAGAAAAATCTACCCAGCAAAGGGAGAAAACTCATTATAAGCTGCAGGGATGCAGCACTGTTAAACTGCAGTCACTAACTTGTTTGTCTCGAAACATATGAATGAGGAGTTCTTAGAAGGCCGTAGTTAGCAAAGTAGTTTTTTCAAAAGATAAAACCCTTATCGAGCTCTGTAGAAGTGGTGTTGCTCAGCAACAAGCGCAAAACTTGTGTTTGACACCACCCAGACCGAGCTAGCTTCCATCCCTTCCAGATCAGCAAATTGATGCCGGACTTATTCTAAAAGAAGCTCCCACCGATTCGATTAGCAAAGGTCATTGATTGCCAGTGGTGAACCCTTGCGAATACCCTCACACAGTTATTCCAGATGAGAATCGACTGAACCACTATTTAACGACATCCATATAGAAGACTAAAATTGAACCTGTACGTATAATAAAGTGCATACAGAAGTGTTAATGTACGAAGCACCATAGGCAGTCACTACCAGTCGCGATATTTCAAATGTAGGAAGTCACGAAGGTTCAAGCGAGGTTCCCATATCTTCAACTGTTGCTGCTCAACTGCTCCGTCGTTCCAAATCTAGGTTTTGGCGAGCACAAGCAGCGCTTCAGCCGTTTTCTCATCAGTGAGTTTATAACTGTCTTCAGATGTAATCACTGATCTGGCAACGAGTTTATTGGTATAAATCAATATGAGAACTGGTAGCGTAGGAAACCAGAAAAACATCCGAAACACGGTCAAATTCGGCCTCGAAAGATAAACCTTTATATATTCTATTGTATTACTCCTATTAATCTCAGCACCGGAATTGCTGGGAACGTTCGACCTTTAAATGATGTCATCTTCAAAACATTTACCAATGCAAACTTAAAGACTTGAGAACACAAAATTGACATAGGTACAGAGCAGGAGCTGCTTGTGTGCAACGGTGGTTAGCTAATGAAGGCAGAATTTTTCGGCGGCATTTTGAACCACGGACGTAGAATTAATTGCGTAGTTGGTTATACGACATGGCACAATAGCATTCCCGCCCATGAGACGGATATCTCTACGGCAAGGATCTAGTAGCGAATGGAGACATGTAAAAGGATTTCATAGATGATAGAGCGTCTACGAGTCAAGAGTGCATTCTTGCGAATTGATGTGTCGGTAGACTGTCGACCACCACGCATTTGCCAGTGTTAGAATCTGCAGTCTTGCTGGAACCTTCTATGGATATGCTTTTTTAGCTATGTTTTTCTTTGAGGAATAATGTTGTAGTTGATAGCATAGGATATGTGTCGTTATACGGTGCACTTCTAAGAGATGTCTAAAAGAGTTACTTGTATGTCTTGTCGGAAGACGACCACTTTGAAAAGAATAATCCAGGATTCTATCTATTAGCATAATAAATTTCGTTAGCACAGTAGTTAAGAAATACCGCAGCTTTTTTCTGAACAAATATGTTAATGTGTACCTGCAGATAAAGAATTAATGAGCAGTATGCTATTGCCGTCGCAAAACCACAGATTGCCCGAGCTCCAATAAGAATACCGGGGATGTGTACGACGATGGCGATACAACGGAGAATCGATCCCATTACATTCAAAGTGTTGCCGACAAGAAATGCCACTAAATCGTGAACTACCTGAATGGTTATATGGGTCGCTCAAGCGATTAGTCCTACATGATTTTCCTCCCATCTTATCAGTTATTTGTCGCCTGCTTTGTGAAAGTAGCGTTTACAATGCAAAGCAATTTCAAGGAAATCGGGACATCCTTGCTGGTGATTAATATCGAGCAAGAAGTATAGCCATAAGTGCAAAGAACTCTTACTACTTTATTAGAGTCGAGTTTTAAAAAAATGACCTTACATTTTCTGCCGTATTTATCGGTCAAAATGCGGGCAACCCAAAGTCCAGGAAGGAACCCAGGAAACCACATGTTGACAATCACATTCCATAGCAACGAAAATTCCTCTTCTGAAACAGAAAAATATCTTTGGTTTTTTATCCGAACGCTACTGTATGTGATTAATTAATCTCTCTGGATGTCTTAAACTGCACCGAATTTGTCACTGTTGTAATCACAATGTTTACAATGTGCTGTTTTTTTTTTCATGGCACGTTATTATGTGAGAAACAATCATAGTGATTCTAAGACATTTGCAAAACTCGGAAGCCAGACCAGAGACTCGAACCATCGATTATCCTTCCTGGCGTACATCACCGAGGTTCTTGTTTTGCTTTGTTCTCAGTCATCTATTATGGTTGCACTTAACAGTATGTTCTCCTGTTTTTGTCTTCTCTTTTAGTCTATTTTCACCCATACAACCGTATCGGACACATAGTTATAAAATGTGAACCTTCTGGATCCGCTTCTGACGCTGCATTTGTGCTGTTCAAGAATTCTCGAAACGAATGAATGGCAGTGTTTGTGTAGGTGGTGGAGAATGCGTACTGAAAATTGACAGCGAATGAAAGGGCCAAGCAGATGCACACCAGACGTGCTCGATCACACCACACCGTTGACATCCTAGGCGACTTAGATTAGTTGCGCTTTCTCTCTGCCTTCAAATAAGTATAAAGTTGCAGGACACATATATAAGAACAACCATATTTCTGGTAAAACCACAATACTAGAAGAGGTGAGTGGAACTGCGTCATTAAATGAATTCGAAAAAATGAAACTGAAGTGAAAATGAAAATGAAAAAATGAAAACGAAAAAATGAAAATGAAAAATGATACTGACGCAATGAAACTTGAAAAGTAATAAAGTATTCCATCTGACTCAAACCGAAAAATCAGTGGAACTTTTCAAAGCAATAAAAGAGGAAAAGAGAGATTTGCAGTACAAATTTCAATCCATACAATTCTATAGCACTGATAGTAATAGTGGGCACTCAGGGAAGGAGGTATCGTGAATCCAGAGATTGTCTGATCAGTAGAAACTGCCGTTCCGGAATGATGTTGTGTAGTTCACATTTTCTCAGTGAACTATCATTGAGCTTCTTAACTCAATAGACCTTAAAAACAGACAATTCCAAAAGGGATGAAGAAAATGAGAATTCGTAGGTGCTTTTGGGAAAATTGGGTCGAAAAAGAACGCTTGAGAGGTAAAGTGAAACTATAGTTCTAAACGAGGAATAGGTGAATAAATAGATGTTCTCGGCCCTGGTCGAGACTCTGTGATGAACAAAAACACAACCAGAGGGTTAACGTGGAACTTATTGCGTATGAGTGCAAATCAAATACACATTTGGTACAATATGGTAAATACAAATGACCCTAGCCACCACTGTTTCCAACCATTGCACGAACTGATAAAATCTCAAGTGAAGGACAGAAAAGGCAGAAAGTGAAAGGAGCGTAGAGAAAAATCTAAGCAATACATATTCGGACTGGCCCCATTTAGCTCGATCATCAGTAGTTGACAATAATAAGAATCGAAAGAACGACAACGAGGGTATATCACCTAATCTGTAGAGAGAGCTTGAAGATGAAATTAGTTGACTTACAGATCATCCCCGGACAAAATCTTATGCGGTCCGGCATAATCTCATAATGCTGGTGTGATTGTCAAGCAACGCATCCTTCAACAAAAACCAGTATTTTCTACCCATTCCACACTTTTTTTAAAGTGACAAAATCTTTTCCTACGAGTTTGAAATTCAGGGCCATTTTTGCTCAGTGGAAGGGTAAAC